AGTCTACAGTCTTCCGTGTGGATTGGGCGTGAAGATTGGGGCGCATTTCCTCAGCTCACCATAATACCTGCAAATCGTCCACGGCCTCGTTGTTTCCAGACACCAGGTTACCCCTAAGCCTTGCAAATTGTGTGCCCCGCTCCGCTGACTCCCACATCCCCAAAGGCTCGCCAGTGGCAAACCTTCAGATCCCGAGTTCCTCCCCTAACCCTGATGCCTCCACGCGTGGCCCCAGGAGTCCCTCTCTGGAAACCACAAGCAATGGCTATGAAATTCAATCTTTCCTTTGCATCTACAAGCCCTCCCATCTCTCGGAATTCGTTAAAACTCTTGTAATATTGGCAAAGCTTAAAAGCGCAAGTCGTTTAATTGGTCTGATCCTTAAACCCAACGCGGAACCCTTCGCGGACGCCCTACACCCTACATCCCCTACTCAACACTCACATGCCCGAAGCCCCTCCCCTTACATATAGTCGCCTTAAGTAGACAGAGTATGCCTTTGGGTATACTATAATAAGATCCCCATATACTCCATAGTCTATCTACTTAAGGGGGGCTACAACCCCAAAACTTTGAACAGATGCCAAGGAGCTAAACTCAAAGCGCAGGAAGGCTGGGCGCTCAGAGGAATCGTCACCTGGAGTTACTGGTGGTTAGCAGGGAATAAGGGAATATAATCCCTACAGAAACCCTATATAACATATTCCCTTATTCCCTACTATAACCCCTGTATATACCCTATTATGAAAAAATGATCTTACAAAACCCGCATATGTAAGTCACCTTGCAACATCCGCACTTTGAGGTTTCAAAATGCTTGGCACTCGAGGCTTCGCTTCTTCTAGCTTATCTGGGAAGATGACAGAGGTTGCAGAGGGAGGGGTCTCCAAATTGCGGCCCTTCATGTGTGTACCTCCTGAATAATCGTGCATAATGCAGATCTTCACGCATCAGAGGACAGATGCTCAACTTGCGGAGCTTCCGCCACCAATATAGGCAAGTCCTGCGTGTTGTGGAGCTTCCTCTAACCTGGATACTATCTAATGGCCTTAGGCGCACCAAAAAAAAAACACTTGCCTGCTTGAATGTATCGCCCTTCACATTCGGTCGCCTGCGACTCTATGTGGTAGTTGCCTAAACCCCATAAAAGACTATATAACCCCAGTTTCTATTCCATCTTCCATTTGATATCATTTGATTGTCCATTTAAATTCTCCAGCATTAAGCAGGACACGGCCCTAATTTTGGAAAACCCTGATGTTTGGGAGCCAATCGACGGCACGAATTCCATGAACATTTGCAAAGCGGTCTAACGGTTCAGGTTTTGGGGGGCTTAGGGCTTAAGTGTTTGAACCCTGGGACGAATTCCAGCGACGGACTCCTTTCTTATGTTGGGCCTCCCGGCCTCCTCCCCCGCGCACGCTCCTTGATAAAGATGTATACCGTCTTCTTACGAGGCCGAGGGCTTCCCTTAGAACTTCGTCTCGGGGAAGAAGTGAGGGGACCCCTGATCCTTGGAACACCCACAGCTGACTTAGATCTACCTGGAGGCTCTCTTTCCGAGGCAGGGGCTCAGAACGGAACTTGTGAAACTGTAAAGCTGTCGCAGGCTCCTTGGCAGGCAAGGAATGGAACCTTTAGAAATTACTGAGCTGGGTTGGTCTCTGAGGTCAGGATTAAGTGGCTCTAGGGGGAGCTGTTGCAGATAGGAAGGCCAGCAGGAAAACTGCCAGTCAGAAATTTCGATTCAGGCCTCACTGCAGTGTCAGTTGCTTCCAACACATGCAACAAAATCAAGCCACACATGACAACGGCTGCAGAAAGCAGTGCTAACAAGGACAATGTTAGTACCTTCCTTTGGTGCCGACTGACTCTCTCGCCCCCTCTCTCGTTCTAAATGGTTGTGTGTCCAAAAACTTATGCAGGAGACACTTGAAAGCTATATGTACAGGATAGCCTATTTGGAGTTTCATGGGTAGTTGCGAGTCAGGCTTCCTGAAGCTCACTCATACTGTAGATGCTGATGAATCCTTACTACGTGGCCTGTGCACTTCCTCACCCTAACTCTACTGAAACCGAGATTCATCTGGATGCAGAAAGCTCAAAGCTAAACCCTGCAGCTAGAGGCAGAAGCCCTGAACTTCCTGGATCAGATTTTCGTGCTTAATCCATTAAATGTGTAGGGCTACAAGGGTTATGTGAGGTAGGACGGTAAGTTGCAGTATGCCCCTCTTGAATACAGTCACCAGTATTCCTGAGCAAAACCGCCTTTACACACTGCCACTGGCAACCATGATGACAAGCCTGCTTCATCTTCGAAATGGGGTTGACGAGGGCAGAATTCAACAACAAGCAAGACATCTAGCTGAGCCCCAAACTCTTTCATCTATCCCCATACTTTCCATCTGTGCATGTTGTAGCTCATGAAGGGTTTTCTGACATCTTTAGATGACAACCTGGCTAGGCCTTGAACACTAAACTCCTACAGCCTAAGCACGAATCTCCAAAAGCATCGGCTCCTTCTTTTGAGGCCACAGTCTATCTCTCAGGCTGGCACATTTGTCTAAACCGCAAGCTATTCGAGGAGCGTGATGGAGCTCATCGACGCAAGACGGAGTTGCTATGAAGCATTGTGCTGGACCGCTTTGGCCCGCTGTACATACGCATCCGGGGCAATCTCAAAATGGGATACTATCTGAGTTCTGGCAAGCTCATCGGTGATGCATGCAGGAATGGCAAGGAGAACCTCATTAACAGCCTCACCATTAGCCTAGGCTACTACACATGAAAATCATGAACTCAAACACCCGTCCCTGAAATCGGAACTGTAGGAAATTAGGGATCCCCTTCAAGGGGTTATAGGGGTTATGGATATTATAGGGTCTACGGTGGATCCACAGCAGGGTTTCCCAAAAGAGGCCACACAAAGGCCGAGGTTCTCCGCGGCATGGCTCGGAGCCTCCTCGCCGGGCTCAGAGCAGCCTCGGGCATCCGAGGCCCACTAGGGATATAGAGGATATGTGCGTATGTATATATATATATATATCTATTTATATAGGGTTTAGGGTGTGTGTATATATATATGGTTTAGGGTGTGTGTGTGTGTATATATATATGTGTATATATAGGGTTTAGGGTTTAGGGCTTAGGTTTTTCTAGTTTGGGGGTATATTTGGTTATATGTAAGGATACTACCCCGATAATGGAAAATGAAATTGAAACTGCACTGGGGTTATGTAGGATAGTAAGTATATTGGGGTTATATAATAGGGGTTATCTAGGGATAATGAAAAAGAAAATGGAAACTACTATATTATAGGGTTGTATAGGGATATATAGGGATATCTAGGGCTATATGAGCTGTAGTCTATACTCCCTAAAGGGGGTTGTGTAGGGTTTAGGGTTTAGGATTTTGGGGGTTATGTTTCAGGCTTGTTAGGGCTTTAGGCTTCCATGGCGTGAACTGAGCAACTTGCAGAAGGACTTGATACGGACTTCTGTGCTTCTTGGTGTGCTTTCTAATCACTTAAGCTCATGCATCCGCGTCAGCTGAGGTGGTGGGCAGATGTGTGGAGCGAGGGGAGGAATGGCGAAGTCTTTCGGGCTTGTTGTTTCCTGAAAGCCCCTTGGGGTTTATCCGGGTCTCGTGACGCTATATCAAATACAGGTTTGAGACATTTAGATTCAACACAATGACCTTTCGCTCAATGCAAGGTGAAGGGTTTGGCAGGCTTACGGTCTGCAGTTTGAGGCTTTTGCCTCCAGGTACCGGGATCGCAAGAGCGGAATGCAGGATATGCTTGGAACGTCCACGGGACTCAGCAACTGGCGATTACGCTACTTACAGCCGGGGGGGCTGTACTAAAACTAGCTCAGCTGGGGGCCCGCATCACCGTGTAAGGATTTCCCGCGAAGTTTTATCAATAGCCTCTGCTTCCTCTGAGGGCTGGAAGAAGAAGATAATGTTGAGGCATATCTCAAGCATGATGTGCTCTAGTAGTTTTTGGCACAAGTCAACCCGAAAAAACATTGCTATCCAATATTATCTGCCCTGTAAAGCCCCAACACATGCAGAAAAGCTGATGCTGGAGTATTCGACTTGTAGACTTTGTAGGCTTGGTAAACTAAGGACCAAGTGTGACAGGGTTCAAGAAGGACATGGGGAAGGGCATGAACAAAGGACAAACGACAGCGCGCACGGAAGCTCCACCAAATGCAGCCCCCTATCAGATTGTTCATTTGAAGGATGCCAGGTCGGGGGCTCGGTGGTGGGGAACAGCGGAGCCCTGAGAAATCTACCACACCCTTTCCTCTTTTGGATAAGAAGCTGTTAACGCCATGCTAGACAGGCTGGACTCTCAGCCAAGATTTGCATGCATGCCTCAAAGGTGTGCCAGCCATTTTTTGGTGCAAGTAAGGACTTGATGTGGAATGGAGGGGGAACAAACAAGTTTAACCACTGTAGTTAGGTGGCTTCAGCTTTTGCCATGGGGAGAGGCTTCAAATTTCAAGTTGGCTCGATCTGTAAGGGGAATCTAAGCGCATCATAACGAGGATGAAAAAGGCGCATTGGACGGATCTGCATGGCCTTTCAATCGGGCTTGTAGCTTGTGGGACCCTTGTGGGATTGTACATGGATGTACAAGGAAGGTGGTGACTATGAGGGATGATGGAAACATTCCTGCAGATGGGAGGGGGCTCAGGCTCACATCCAGCACCCCAGAGCACTAGTGATATTTCTGCAGGCTTGCCACGCGCAAACTGTATCAACGGCATGGCTTCCTAAACCCCCCCACGCTCAGCCTTGTGGCTCAGCCAGGGCTTGAAAAGGCGGGTCAGCTCAACTCTTCGCCAAATTTGCATCGGCACGGATTCCAAACTGCAATGAACCCACAGCCTGTAAACTCGGGCATCTGCCATAATCGACCTCCATTTTGTACCCTGGAAATTCGCTAAGACAGTCATTTTGGCATCTACCCATCAAAAGCTGGCCATCAAGTTTAATCCATGGCCCGGATCGCTAACCCCTCTTGGGTTACTGGATGGGCGCGTGCCCGGCGGCAGGCATTGAAGCGCTGCAGAGCATAGCCATCTCCCCCCGTCAGGAAGTGTTCCTTGTCTTCTCTAAATTGAACGTCCCCCACTGATGCCCCACTGATGAATACAAGCAAAAAGCACAAAAGGGTCCTGATGAGTGCTGAGACTCAATTCTGAGCTGGATGTGCTTGGGCAGTTTGGGTGTGGGCTGCCCCAGCATCCGGCGAACCAAAGACCGCGCCTTGTCGGCATAGTTCACGCACACCGTGTCCGTGCAGGGTACTCCAGGAGGCGCCAAGTCTTGCAGAACAAAGAATGCAACCTTCATCAGTCTCCCCGTCAAAAACCCGAAAAACAAGCTGATCTAAGCGCCTGGGGGCTTCTAGGACAAGATTCCGAGAATTTTGCCCAAGGCTGATGTAGCTGCAACCTAGCTGCCACGAGTCGCCGCCCTCTCTGACCCGGAGAAGCACGTAGGGTGGACATCCGATGGTAAGCTGCGTGGTTGTCGAAGGCTATAGCTGTACCTGCCTGCTGGAAAGGAGGTTGTGTAGAAGGATTTGTATGCCAGGACCGGCCTGTTCCGTGACCACTCAAAAACGCAACCGGCTTATCCTAGGCTTGCGCTTCTGTTCGCCATGGAAGGCCAGGAAGGGGAAAGCAAAACAAGCAACAAATTCACACAAGGCTTATCCCTGGGCCATACAAGAGGGAATATGCCTGCACCGGGATTGTCCGCGATACTGGATACTGCGAGCCACAGCCACCAGTCATCACAACCGTAATCTCAAGATCCCCGCCCTCCAAGGTGTCTTCAACTGCTGGGTAGAAGAGGCCTGCCAACTGAATCTGCTTCAGAGCCTGTTAGCCAAATATACCCCACAGCATATAGGAATTTCCCAAAATTAGGGGTACCCTTATGGGGGTCCTTAAAATAAGAATTGAAATTACAATATTTTGGGGGTCGATGTGGGGGTTCCCCCTATTTTGGGAAACTACCATATAAGGCCAGCAAAGCAACTTTGATTGGGCTCACTGGATTCCCTGTCCACGCCGGCGTATGACTGACTGACTGACTCACTGGATTCTCACCAAGCCTACCCCTACCTTCTGCCACTCGAAATCCCCAGAACCCCTACGCTACCCATGGCGGCTTCTAGGGAAAGAAGAAAAACGGGATACAGAAACCCCCCTAAGGCAACCCCCAGGGCCTACCATCTGAATCTGATCGCTGGGCGTTCCCTCCTGGTGGATCTCGCCCAAGATCTCCTCTCCGCTTCGCACCTCATAGATTTGGGCCTTCACCAGAACCTCAGGGATCCTTTTGAGTTTCAGGTTTTGGGGTCTACCTCTTGGCCTTTAGGCCCACAAACATTAACAACTCCCTGCCCCTGTACTCAGCACTCTCCACAGCAGGATTGATGCTGGGAGGAGTTATGGTCCTGTTTGAACCAACTGAAATCTTCATACCTGCTGGGCAAGCAGGATGTTTTGCAACCCCAACCACCTTGGACCGCGCAGTCAAGGGCTGATGCAAGCGCTGCGCCCCCGCCTGAGGGTTCAATCGCCTGACATCTTGGGCACATCCGGGAAACTGATTCCGGCAGTTTAGGCAATCAGTTCTTCGGCCTAGTCACAGAAGAAAACGGTGCCATGAATGAAAATAAAACAGACGAGATCCAACTCAAGAGTAGCAGGACCAAAAAAAGCACACGATGCTACTCCAGTACCCAGATGCTGAAAGAGAGGCTGCATGGCCGTCAGCAGCTCCCCTAGCCTTCTGTAGATGGGGCTGGACAATGTTCGCGGCCCCATGTCCGGGATCCCACAGACTTCGCTGGCAAACTGAAGCTCTGAAGTCCTCGGCTAGTCTTGGAAAGGTACTACTTACTGATGTGAGGCTCATTACAATAGACCCCCCCACCTCGAGATTCGGGCAGACCAACCTCGAAATAAAGGTCCGGAAAATTGGGGGGTCTGGGGCCTGAGCTCTCTCGGGGTTGAGTAGGAGTAAGAGTTGGAGGAATAGTAGGAGTAGAAGTAGACGAGCAGGAGCAATAAGGGTATGAGTATTTGAGAGTAAGAGTAGGAGTACTTAGTAGGAGTAGGAGTAATTTGGTTTCAAGTAAGAACCAGAATTTCTACGGATTTTATAGGCCGGGGAATTCTATTATTACCACCCCTTTATAACACTAACCCCCTTATGTGCATATGGCAAATGGAGGATATCACAGGTGTGTCATCAAAATCAAAATAAAAACCGGCTCTGGAAGCTTTTTTTATTACCACCCCCTTTACCATAAGCAACATTACATTATTCATATTCTTGATACCATTTGTGGAGGCATCTGCGAAAGTCTTAGAAGACGACGTTCTGCCAGTAGTAACCCTGGGTTTTCTCAAGCATTTTCGTGCGAAGCTGTTGCTGCTACCGTTATTTCCGGCATGCTTGACATTACTTTTACGATCACAAAGGCCCTGAAATGCTCGATAGAATGTTCCACTGTATTGCCTGTTTGTATTTGCTTACACAACTGAGATATACACCCTGAACCCATGACACACAAAAAGAGCAAATCCTAACCTAAACCCGCCTCCCCCCTCCAAAAAAACAATTCGTTCTCAATCCTTGGGGCCCTTTCCCGCCAGCCGAAGGCGCTGCAGACAGCTTTGCTGGCAGCCTGGGCTTTTTGGGGGGGGTCAGGGTCAAGGGTATAAGGTTGCAGGTTTAAGATTAATGGTCAATGGGGTAAGGCTTTGAAGCTGTGAGGATCTGGGGCTTAGGGTTCAGGAGTTAGGGGTAAAATCTCTGAAAGTAGAGAGGGCTCAAGGAGAATGAGAATGCTGAGCATCTGTTTGATTCTTCTGAGGCTTTGAACGGAGCATACAGGGGGTCAGAAGGACACAAGGAACAGTGACGGTTGAGGTTAAGAGGTTAAACGTTAGGTCACGGCTTGGCCGGAGAATCCCGATTTACGTGCGTTACTTGTTGCTAGAAGGGAATGGAGGGTGGCATAGTGGCCCCCATATAATCCCCGACAATCTCGTAGCTTTCATCCTCTTTTCCATCCCTTCGTTTCCTACCACTGCAACAACTCGAAATGCTATATTGCGCGAAATGCTCCACTTGTAAGCTGCGTGTACTATCTGAGGCCACTGAACCTAGTCAGAGCAGATATGGAGGGGGTTACTGTACTCGAAAATATGACCAGCCAAAATACAACATGAACTTGGAAACATGGCGGACTGAGATGTCTAGTCCAGAAGCCATCGCGGAGCGCCTGCCACTGAAGGTCTTGTCAGACCCCTCACCCATCGACTGTTCGGGATCGCCTCTACGAGTGCCAGTGAGGTCATTTGGGGGACTAGACAATCAAGCGACAGTTTTGGGCTAGATTTTCCGGTAATTATGCAAGGATAGTATTGGCAATTATTCAGGCAGTCCTATAGGCTTAGACTTGAAGGAGGTCCTGTGGGCCCTCTCTTGCACTTCGCAGGGCTTCAATCATCGTATATGGGCTTCAATGACGCTTGGCTTACACTTATGTCGTCATGAGGCTACGTTGAATATGACGGTGTACTGGCACACGAAGCATCGTGGTGGTAGACACCCTGGTCTCTTGGTTCTGATACATGGAAGGGACACGTTGGCCGGGCTGCCGAAAGGAACCGGTGACCCGGCCCCATTGCCCGGAGACAAGAATGGTTCATCAAAGATGATAATCATCCTAGCTTGGGCCGCGAATATGACTCCTTCGAAGAAACCCACCACCCACAGTGACAGCAGCGGATAACAGCAAATTAGAGGAGCCGGTTTCCAATGAGCGAGTGTCTGTACAAAAAATGAGGGTCCTATTTCCGTCCTACCTTTCCACTATTACTGGGTGCGGAAAACAAGCAGAAGTTTCAGACAGCTTCTGCTAGCCCCATACTGTTGCCAATCACAGCCAGGGAACTGGAATGTTCCAGCCAGCATCGTCGCTAGAGACCTTCTGCCTGAGCACGGGCTCTCGGGGTATGTTTGCAAGAAGTCCTGCTCACCAAAAAAATTCCAACATGTTGCTGTTGCAGACGACGACAACTTGTGTTAAAAGCATTTTCGGAGAACACCTCAATTCATCCGACCCCACGCACACAAAAAACGCCGGTCTTCGTATGTTCTGTAGGGATCCTATAGGAAGTCTTGTTTGTCCCCATGTTGGGGCAAATCTTTGGCATGAAAGGCCAAGCAGCTTGGCAATGAAATCACAACAAGGCGACGTCAGGCATCAACTGCTGCAATACTAATGATAATAAGAATAATAATAATAATAACAAGAGTAGTGATAGTAATCATAGTAAAAAGAATTCTAATAGTAATAGCAATTACAGTAAGTATGATAGTAAGAATAATAATGATAATGACAATAGTAATAATAGGGTAACTTATCTTTAAAACTTCTGGGTGCGCAAAATCGACACATAAGTTTGAGAGCCCATGATCCTTACACCTTGAAGCAAAAATGCCCCCACAATTCCTTTATTGCCCTTTAACACCCGGTAAAGAGGCCCACATTTTGGAATCCCCACATTTTGAATTGGTTGCTTGTCTCTTTCAGCTGTTCCTACATACCCCATACAGTTGCTCCATGCAAGGTCCCCAAGTATCCCTCGCATACACCATGCCCTAACCCATCTTGAAAATCTTGTCACCGGACAATCACGAATTTCTCAGGATAACGTTCTGCAATGCCTTCAAAGGAAACGCCTGTAATCTCTGCGTCCCCAAATGGACCCGGTTTTCCTGAACTCCCCTGTTGCTTTGCATCTTGGCTGCTTCTTCTCGGGAGGAAAGAAGGTCTCCTCGCTTTGCCTCACACTGATCTGGAGGCATGACAGCTCGTTTACGGTTTGGGCCAAAGCTCTTTTGGTGCTTTCGGATCTTAGGGTCTAAGGTCTTATCAGGTTTTAGGGGCTTCTTGGGCTTGCAATTTAGGCTCTTGGGTTTCAATGTCTTAAGGCTTTTTGCACTTGCATGGCACGAGGCAGCACAAGTCAAAAGCGTGTTCCAGAGTACATGTGGTCGGGCAAGGCAAGATGTCAATGCTTCAGGTCGTAACAGTCTGCACATAACAACCTGTTCAGCTATGTACACACTAATTACTTGGCTACAGCTTTGCGTTGAGCTTCCTTGGTGCAGGGCTTAAAGATTTGGAGCGTAGCTGTATGAAACAAGACCCCTCCTCCTACTATGGCGAAGATTTCTCGAGTGCCCTTGACCGCTCAGGCATCTATCCCGAGTGGTCTTGATCGCGCCCCGAGTGGTCTGGACTACTTGGGAATGGTTCCTGAGTGGTTTCAAGGGTTTCTCGAATGCCTTTCACCACTCAGGAATCTATCCCGAGTGGTCTTGATCGCGCCCAGACTGGTCTGGACTACTTGGGAATGGTTCCTGAGTGGTTTCAAGGGTTTCTCGAGTGCCTTTCACCACTCAGGAATCTATCCCGAGTGGTCTTGATCGCGCCCAGACTGGTCTGGACCACTTGTGAATGGTTGAGTGGTTTCGAGGATTCGCTCAGTGCCTTTGACCACTCAGGAGATCGTTCCCGAGTGGTCTTAATCGCGCCCCGAGTGACTTGGGAATGGGTTCGCCAAGTGCCTTTGACGATTCAGAAATCGTTCCCGAGTGTTGCAGCATTTCAGGACTTCTACAGGGTCCCAATCGGCCCATAAGGCCCTTCTCCACTAAACCCAAAGCCCAAAACCCGAAGACTCTAAAACTCCTGCACTCTAAGCCCAGACGCATGGGGTCGATGCTGGCCCGGTTGGGGTCGATCACGTCTAAAATCCGCCCCCCAATGACCCGAACCTGCGCGTGATGAGGGGTTCAGGGTCTCAGAGTTAGGGTTTAGGGTTTCAGGGTGTCGGGGTTGGAGTTTAGGGATTTTGTGAGAGGCTGTAGGGACTAGGAGGAGGTGTCAGTGGAATTGGAATGCTTAAGGTCTAATGAGTCTAATGAGTGTTGCAGGGAGCGGAGAGGGATTGTAGCAGTACACTCGCAGGGCCTTGGAGGGTAAGGATTCAAGATTTCCGCTACGCACTCCAAAGGCTACACCTGCAGCTTTAGGGTTGCAGGTTCCGGCGTTTAGTGTCTTGCGATTTAGGACTTAGGGCTCAATAGTCATGTGGTGGGCTGACAAGGCTTCAAGGCCTAAGGCTTCTTTACTCCTCTCCAGAATATGTCAAGCGCCTTAAGTCTCTTGTGATACTTCAACACAATCAGTACCCAACTGAAGATTGATTAGACCAGCCTCGCACCTGCCTCTCCTCATCATCTACGCCAGAGCACCTAGAAGCCCGTAGGGACGGAGCCAACTCGACTTGCAATGCGGTAACCTCCTAAAGCCCCCAAACTCCCACGAGGGTCAGCCCTCCAAGGTGGTCCTTCAAGATGTTGCCCCGTACGGTTCGGGGGGACCCCAGCCCGTATCCCTGCTGCATCGTGAAAACGCTTTCAGCTAGATGGTGTCTTGGTTTGATGGCTTGTTATGGCTTCGGTCGGTTTCCGAGGCAGCTGCAGGGCTAGTCGACTCCCACTGCCAAATCCATAGCTACCGATATTCTGCATACGAATCCTCACTTTGACTCCAAAGATTGTGCAGAACGACGTCGTCTTGCTAGCACACATCTCTTGAAGATACAGGAGGCTCACGCACAAGCCCGACGTTGCAGACATGAGCAGCTCATGGTTTTCTTGAAGCAGATTCGAAATCTGGGCTACCTTCAGCATCTGGCATGTTTGAACCACATGGTAGGTTGATCCTTTTTTAGGTCCC